TATTAAATGCTGCTGCACTCTGCAGGAGTTTATCTATGATAAACCCAACAGCTGGCTGCTTGCTTCATACTGACCTTCTCAAAATGTTTTAGTACATGTCACCCAAGTATTACAGTACTACAGATATAAACTGCCATTTCCGTGTGATTGGCACACAAATGCCTCATTTCTTTAGCGACCTATATGCGAACTCAGACCTGAATCTTTTAAAAAACATACACAAGTCAGTCAAGTTCACAGCTGATGCAATTTCAGCTGCTTTTAATACCAGTTCTAAATATTTTCCTGCTCATTTGTTTAGCTGCACGTGTTTTAGAAGCTTGTAATTAAGACAAATTGGGTAATCAAAGAAGAATAATCTTCCTTGTTACTTTACCACCCATTTAGCTTGGAGCAATGATGGCAGATGTTGATTAAGGAGGAAAAAAAACTACATACCAAAACAAGGACAGAATTCATATTCTTGGATAATAGCATTCTGAGAAATAAAATTCCATAAATTCACATTTATGCTTCTGAAACCGAGAGGTTAATGTGAAAAGGCTTCTGCTGAGAAATTCAGCACCTCATTATTCTACTGATTCACCTTTCACATAGGAACAGAGAAATTATTCTACTTTGATTATGAAGAGAAACAGAATAGGTTTGGTTTGCATAATTTCCAGCACCAGTGCCTATGAAGAATTTATTTTTAAAATGTGGTAAGGGAATGGAGAGCAATGGTGAATTAAAGGATTCTGTTATTCAGTTGTCTTTGAAGAAGAACTGAACTGGGTGGCAGTTTACTGAGTACAATAAAAACATAATGGACATCAGACTCCCTAGTGAGGCCACATGTGAAACACTGTGTCCAGTTCTAGACCCCTCAGTTCAAGAGAGACAGGGAACTACTGGAGAGAGTCCAATGGAGGGCTACAAAGATGATTAGGGGACTGAAGCATCTATCTTAGAAGGAAAAACTGAGAGAGATCTGAGGCTGTATAGCCTGGCAAAGACTGAGGGGGTTCTTACCAATGATTATAAATACCTAAAGGGCACGTGTCAAAAGGATGGGGCTGGTCCCTTTTCAATGGAGATCAGTTATAGGACACTGGACAATGGACACAAACTGGAACACAGTAAGTTCCATCTGAGCATAAGGAAAAACTTCTTTACTGTGAGGGTGACAGAGTACTGGAACAGGCTTCCCAGAGAGGTTGTGGAGTCTCCTTCTCAGGAGACCTTAAAAATCTGCCTGGACCTGTTCCTTTCCAACTCCTATCACTCTGTGATTCTGTGACGTTGCCTGCCCCAAGGCCCTTAGCCCATAGTTCTCATTACTCTTTAGAATTCTCATTACTCTTGAGAATTCAAATTTGTAAATAAATGATAAATAAATGATGAAAGAAAGAGAGCACAGGAATTTTCAAATGGTGGGGTTTTTTTTGGTTTGTTTTTTTTTTTTAAATTTTTTGCTGATACAGCTTATCTGTCTGGGAGAATAAACTTAACAGTTACTCATGATAGCCACAACACACTATCTAGCAGGTAAAAATACTATAAAAGCAATAATAAGTTTTTGTGTTAATACCCACAATCACTAATGCAGGCATGTGCTTCTGCACAGAGAACTAGTGTCACAGAGAAAACACTTCCACATTAACCAAAAGCATGCCACCATTTGACAAGAAGAAATTCAAGCAATTTTTAAAATGCTGACTGTAGTTTCTATTACAGTTATATGGGAAATAACATATATAGTGCATATATAACTGTCCTACAGAACACAGAAATTAAGAAGTTGAAATAAAATTTGCTAGGCGATACTGATTCTCACATTTCCTAACTGTCAGACAATTATCTTTAGTCTCTGAAAACATTTTTGCCATATAGTAGTGTTATTATTAAAATAGAAAACTGAACTAAAAAGTACAATTTGTTTAATCATGTAATGGCTTTATAAAGGAGAGACACAGTTAATGCTGAACCTAAGACAGACCAGAAACTCAAAATCTGAAACTCAAAAGTATTTAAAAAGAAGCACAACTGCTTCTATGAAGTCAAAATCATTCACTACAAATACTGACTTGCTGAGGCAGCCTTTTTTTTTTTTTTTTTTTTTAAATAGCACAGTATTTTTTTCTACTTCCATTGTTTTCCTTTTATAAGGTGTATGTGAAAGACGTGAAGGGAAAAATAAAAAGATTTCTTTTATATGCTATAAGTATATCTTTAAAATGCATCTCAACTACAAATTGAGATGTTGAGCTTAATGTATATTCAACAGAGAAGAGCAAATGCCTCCAAAGGTTATTGTCCAACATATTGTCTAAAGGTTATTGTATCCAATGGTCTGAGTCCAGTGTTATGAATAACTCTCATAACTCAACATTTTCTTTTTATTCTTGAGTTATTTATTCCAAACCAAACGCAAACTGGTTTTGCTATAAGGAAAAAATACAAACTAAGGGAGAAATGTAAGGACATGCATTATCTAGTTCACAAATCCTGAATCAACTTATATTTACTTTTCTGAAGACAGACAACAGAGCATGTTAAAAAACAATGTTTACAAAACTTCATCCTGAGCTCTGCTGAGCTTTCAATGATGGCAGGACCAGATTGCTACTGTATTAGCAATGGTAAAGTCTTCGTAAGACTGGAAAGTAAAAAAAAAATTAGCAAAGATTTTTTTAAAAAAGTTTAAATACGAAACAGATAGATATGGATATACTTATGCATACCTTACAGGACAGCTGTATACTTAAGTGAGAACATATACAGAAGTGTAGTAACACAGATTATAAGATCAAAGTTTTACTTCATTTTAACTCACTTCATAGATCTCGTGCAAGTCTAACCAGGAAACTCCTCTTAACAATGAGTAGGATAAACCAGTGGGTGAAGAAAAAGCAAGGACATGGTTGTATTTTGTGATTTGCTAGTACAAAAGTTTCTGTTCCACAAGATCTACAATACATAGCTAAGTGTAAATACTAACCTGCTTATGAATTCATATTAAAAAAATACAAGTTTTACAGTAACACATGTTGCCATTTCTCAATATAAGAGCACTTGAAGTATTCATACTAATAATGAATACTTAACTGGATTCATTCATACTCATCAGTAAGATATGTCTGCAGCCTTTTATATTCCTGTATCTCCAACAGATACATTACATTCAAACAGGATCAAGAATATTTCCTTCCCTTGAGCAGTTCTACCAATTATTGCTATCCCATGTTAACATGATGAATGGAAAGCATACGACAGGCTTATGAAAGCTTTGAATATTACCACAAACCTGCAATTTATAGAACTGTAAAAGGTATGGAAAAAGAACTTAATTGTCATGGTCTTAAAAAGAAAACCACAACCCAAAAACCATCCACCAAAAACCAGTAACACCAGCCATAAATGGGACATCACTGATGATTCTGCACTGTCTTTTATTAGAGAAAAATAGTTACTGTTAATATCTACATTTTTATTTTTAAAGGTGGCTGGAATGGAAGACAATCACATGGAAATTAATCTGCTTATTCTCAAATTAGACATGAACTCCATCCTAAACAGCCCATCTTTTGCTGGAAATTATCAGAAGTGAAGCATACTCTCAAAAATCAAGAATTTTCATAATTCAAAATAATCATAATATACTATGTCTGTGTGAGTATCTTCAGCATAACTTAAATATAATTTTGCTACTTTTTTCCATTACCTGATACCAGCAACACCCAGTCCTTTGCTCTCCTAAGAAGAAGTAAGGATGTTTCCTCCCATTTCCATCATACTTGAAAATCAATAGACTTGAGCAGGCACTGTACAAGGTTGCAGTGGCACTACCTTGCATGACGTAGAATACTAGAATAAAGTTTACTATTCCTTCCTTGAAAAGGAGCTCATGCTTTGATTTTCCCAATAGCCAAATATTTCTCCCAATCCAATATTATAAGACATCTGGAAGATGTTTTTCCTCTCTGCTGCAGACTTCATTCTTTTCTGTGGCATTAATAACTAGGGAAGAGCACTTTGGTATTTTGCTACTCTTTAGATTAACCATGAAAGAAGCACAATACTAGCAAGGCACAAAACGTAGCTTTCTGGCAGTTGGTAAAACTGAATTAGCAGAACACATGCTCAAATTCTACACTGATAGGAGACAGTGGACACTACAAGCCCACTCACCATCAGAGAACCACTGTGACCAGCCACAGGAGCTGTCCTTGCTAGGACATACTACTACTATTCAGCAGTGAGGCTCAAGGACCTCAAACCCTTTTTTTCTTACTGCAATCTCCAAACTTGAGCAAAGCAAAAACAACTATACAGTTTTTCTCTGAAGTTTCTGATCCCCAGTCCCTGCTGTCAATAGTTCAGCATACCGCGTAAGTGACAGAAGTCTTTTGTGCCTTTATCCTTGCAAATTTCTGAATACTGAGTAAGAGTTTATGTGATACTAACTTTCTCTAGAAAGGACAACTTTTTGTTTAAATGTAAACTGCCTTCCTGATGCAAGCAAAAGTAAGTTGCTTTTTAAAGACTCCCATCACCTTCACTAGTATGGGGGTTTTTTGTCAAAAAAAATGTATCACAGAAGTAGTTCAAGGGATCAAAGAAAGGTGTTCTAGCATAACCAGTCAGATATTTAGAAACATAATACACAGAGCCTTCACATTGAAGAACAGGAATTATCAGTCCCTGAAGTAAAAGGTGATTTCTTTTTCATCTAGGTACATCTTTTGCTTATAGGTCCCTAAATCTTCATGCTCCAATTCACCTTAAGACAACATTTTCCTAATATTATAATGGCCATGAATAACACTAGGAGTAAACAGAAAAATTAAGTGACTGACTATCCAAAGAGCACCCAACTCAAAAGTGAGGTGACCAAAAGAGGATATCAACAACGAAGTTTAATTTGTTACACTGTCTCCTATAGAAAGGGACTAAGGCAAAACCCAATCTTTTAAGCGTAAGATGACATCACATTTAAAACATCACTTCTTCAATCTTACCTGCCTGCATCAGTCTCCTTAAAGATCCCATCCTGGTTAGGACACAATTCACAACTAGGTGTGACACCACATTTGCATGCATCACAAAACCACGGTTCTGTGGAATTTTCTGAAGCTGAGCTCATGATAGAGTCACTCTCTCCATCAACACCATAGCAACCTATACATGTGAAAAATGGAAGACCAATATAAGAAAATAATCGTAGAAGTAGAGCGTTGTCAGTTCAACAGGAAGCATACATGCATATGCATTCAGAGGAACAATACTGAGAGTCCCAAGAAAGCTTACAATATTTTTGCAAATATTATCTTCAGTGCAAAAGTTAATTTTAAAGAGATTCTAAGAAGTGATCTGTTTTATGTGACTGTCTTATATTACAACTGAAAAACAAGAAGAAGGTTGATATACTTTATTTTATTTTTTTATTATTTTAGCAACATCATGTTCTTCTAGACTATCCATTAAGAAGGAAAGTAAGAAAACAAGACTTAAAGCAACCAATAAAGATTGAGAAAAACTCAAAGCATTTTTTCAAGTACAGAAATATATTTCAAGCTGAATGCAACAAGCTAAGGGATTTGTGAGCTTCCTATCTTTCTCCTCCTCCCGACTCTAAAAATGAACATTATTGGGGTGGGGGATTAGAGGCTGATTATGCCAGTAGTACCCAGTCAAAAAATATGCACTCCACTTTCCCACTTGGTATTCAGCACCCAAATCAACCAACAGAGAACATACACTTGAAATTAAAAAACATTATTTGCATACTTTAGGAGTTGCAGGACTGAACTTAAAAAGAATTTCCATAACTCCAAAACCAAAGTATAGTTCGCAGGGCACAAATTGACAGTTTTAAGACAGCACATTAATGACTGATAAATATGTTAATTTTTTTAAAGCATTTTGATTTTCATCTGGTCTTAAATTACAGCTAGACTCAATAATTCAGTTTCTTCATTCTTCTTTGGCATATCCACTGTATGCTTTATGATTGTTAGGGTATACATGCAAACACCACAAATTTAGAAAAGTAGTATTTTAAAAGTGATTTAGAAACTTGTTATTTAAATTTTGCACAGGAATAGTATTATTATTACTGCAAATGACAAGGGACAATCTTAAAGCTTATCACCACAAAACTATTTAAGCCACATTTTGTGCATCTATCTGTTACTCAATAGGAGAAAAATATATTTCATTGTCAACACTTAAACCACAACAGAGGACATTAGAAGATTAAATTCAGTTGTTTGTCAAATACAGTGATCAAGTCAATATTTGTGCCTGCAGAACAGTTAAATTATTGAATTCTGCAATTAAGTAGCAACATGATTTTGTACATTGGTTCATTACCCACTGACTGTAATAAAATAGCAACAGTGCTCTAAATCCCCTTGTGACAGAAACGGAGATCTGCATAATAGACTAAAACAACATCCAGGAAATAAGCAATAACATTGTAGGAACCATTTAAGAAATACAGTCTTCCATTACAGAATGAGTCTCATCAATAAGAATTAAAATAAGCCAGAATGTTTCTTTTCATTATGAAAGTATTCCAGAACCAAAAGGCAAGTAATTCATAGAAGTGCATTCACAGACAAGTTTTATTAGGTATATAAAAGATCATAGAGTTCACACATAAAGCAACTCCATTTTCTTTATAATGTGGTTACCAGCTTTAAGTACTATATGAGAGAAAGTAATTTTTTAAGTTCCAATAACACAATCTTGAACACATGCCAGTAAAGCTACTTTTAAGCAATTACATTAATGTACAACCACACACAGCCCATTGATATCATTGAGCTGATAAAAAATTAAGCTTCTTATGTTTCCTTCAGACTTCTTAACAAGTTTACCTTTTCCTAAATGTACTTATTAAATTACTTATTTCTAGCAGTACAGAAACAGCAATACTGTCATCAATCAATATGGCAAAATAAAATCTGTTTCTTTCACACACTTATGCTTCTTCACCAATTTAGAGTAGATTTCCTTTTCTAATCCAAGTGCCATCAGTCTGCTAAAACTAGAATAACATCCCCAAAACTGTCTCACCTTCATTCTGAAACAGTTGCATTATTATACCTACCTGCCCTTTATACCTGACTACCTTTTTATATTTCTTCCTAGAAAATGACACATATATGCCATAATTATTTCCACCCATATCATGTTATAGAAAAAATGTTCAATGTTGACACACAATACAAATCTAGGTCCTTTTTCCAATTAAGATTAAAAAACCTGTCTCAAATATTGACCCAATTTTTTTGTCCCAATTTGTACATAAGTTTCAACTTTAAGATCTCTAACAGACAAGGAGGCATTTACTTTTTTCCCCAACTGCCATTTTGCAAAAGCTAAACACCATACTACTACACCCAGCAAAAGAGGTGGTCATTAGCTAGAGAAAATAGACTAAATTACCATTAATCATTGCTGATAAATACATCAAACTCTGAAACAGAGCTGAAGGAAACCCAGCCCATAAACTGCTATTGACTTGACGTACACTGTCAAATAAAGCTACAGAATCAAAGCTGCAATATAAAACCTTGTTTGCTATGAAGCCACATAAGCAACAAAAAGACTCAGTGGTAGCCTTTTATATCCACATACACCAGATGTTACCATTAATCACAAGGGAAAAAAAAATCTTAAGCACAAGGTCTGAGAGAACATACATTGTAATTGTTCTTGAATAAGTGGTGGCATGGACCAATTTCAGTAGCCTCCACAGTAAGTCTAAACTCTATATTACCTCTGGAGTTTACTTTCTAGAAAGAGTTACGAGTACTGTATATAAATAGTGTGTATATAAATAGTGAAACAAAACTCAGCTTTATGAACAATACTTTTAATTAGGCAATTACATCATGCACCATAAATGATTTCTACTCAAGTCTACCCAGCAGCTGAAGTTTAAATTTCATCTACTAATACTTAACAAAATTAAGGGCTGAGTACCAAAACTGCATGGAAAGCACTTGTTACGATGTATTTTTTGTTAAAGATACACAAGTATTTCAAGTCAGAATTGTTTGCAATAAAGAGTAGTTTGCTGCTTTTGGCTTCTTAAGTGGTAACAAAGACCAAATGAGAGCTCAAATTTCATCAATGCAGTATTCATATGGATAACACAAATCTGCTGAACAGCCGTATTCATTCAGTGTCTGTAAAGCTATTGACTATATGTAAGATGACCAATCTTGCATGTGGTTTTGACACCAAAAATCAATATGTATATGAAGGGAATTCCTTCCAAAAAAAAAGCTAAAGTTCCTTCCAGGGCAAAAATATAGTGAAGCTAACAACTACTAGTAGTTCAATTCTTAAATAGTCAATCTTTCATGGTTCAAAAACAGTGAAAAAACTCACAACAAAATTTAATCAGTTAACAACATATATTTGTCTTATTTAAGGAACAACACATAACACAAAAATGGTGTAATTTGACATTAAGATGCCAGATGTGTACAGGAAGAGATATGTTTTTCAAATATACAAGGAACAAAAAACACACTTTGCTTCAATTGAGATACAAAGGTAAAAGCAGTTTCAGAACAAAACTTTACTGTAGAAATATATCCATTGCTAATTTTTTTATTTTGTTCAAGAAAGTGCATTTTGAACAGTGAAAAGCTCAGATCATTATAGCATTCACCTGGGATGTGAAAGAGTCTGAAGCCTCTCACTAGTTTCAATCAAAGCAAGGATATTAATTTGTTCTCACATAACCAGTGCTCTGATCATATGGTAGTTATTCTAAACTAAAACCTCCATCTTTTCTGTGAGTTGCTTCACTTCCACATATAATCGTTACAGTATTTATTGTACTAGATGCTGTTCTGCCAATGACTAGGCCCAACAAGAATGACATAATCAGCCGAAAGACAAACCAGTAAGTTGACTGTATTGTAAACAAGAAAGCTGTGATATGAATGACCGCCAGGGGTACAAACAAGTCAACCAGTTTGTATAAAGTTGACACCACCCACAACGATCCCAGAAAAGTCATGACTCAGCCCACAACAGGTGGTATAAACAGAGAACCAAGGTTTCCCATAGTTGGCAAGGGAAACAGCCAGATCACCAAGATAAACATATATGATAAAGGTGCCCACATGGCAACTCTCACCCGTTTAGCCTGCGTTCACAAAGGTCTAACCTGACCAGGGCCCAGCTCCAGGGAGAGTCAGGAGGTCTCTCCTTAAGCAGGAAGCTCTGTGGAGTGCACTTCACAAACAGACACTCCTCCCTTCCTGCAAGTGTTCCCAGCTTTTATCCCCAAGCAGGGACACCTGACCTTTGTTCACTCAATGCGGGACCCCTGGGGCTCATTTCCCTTATGGCTCTCCCTGCAGGGCCGGCCGCACCCTGGAGGGAAGCTATAAGGCAAACTCACCACCTCTGTATGAAGGGCTGTGGGAATCACCCATATGTCAACCTTAATTTGGGGCTCAGGGTTCAAACCCCAGCATTCCAGATGCTTACTAATTCTGCAGCCTAACTGCAGCAGGTTTAAATTGTTCCAAAATATTCAGAAATAGAAAAACTTCAATAGCTTACTGTTCTTCAAGAAAACACTTTCTGATTATTAACTAGCAACCATAATGAATTGGTTTGGGGTAGAACAGAACTGATTCTGTTCAGCGATTTTACTTTTCAGATAAAGTTCTTATCATTAACTGCACTTTTTGAAGTTAGCAGTGTATTTTTGCAAACAGTATCTGCTTCTAGCAGTGATAACACTCCATGTTTAGAGTTACTACCAGGCATTGGTGTGCAGACCAAGGTCACTGCTAAAGCTTGTGTACAACACAAAGGGCGGCAGAGAACAAAAGCCACACCTGTAGGGAGGAGCGGACAAGATAAGTGACCCTAAAATTCACCAGTGGTATATTCCATCCCATATCCTTCATATTCAGTGTAAAATCTGAAGGATCACAAGCATCAAGCCTTTCCATCTCCCTTCTGCCTCCTTCCTCCTTTCTTGCTGCTCCTTCAATGTCTGGTATCCAAGGAGGACTTCATCCATTCTGCCTTTGATTCCGAGCTGTGTGTTCCTGAACTCAATTCCAGAATCCAGCTCCTGTACCCAGTTGCTGTCTGGTGCTGAGTCCAGCCTGGGACTTTTCCCCAGACTGCTCCCT